CCCTTTCCTTTCAACATGCTCATTGCCATATCTAAGATTATGCGATTCTTCTTTTCAGCAACACCATTTAGCTGTGGCGTATAGGGTGGTGTTGTTTGATGCTTGATTCCACACTCATTGCAATAATTCTTGTAAACATCTAATGTATATTCTCCACCTTGATTTGATCGCAATGTCTTGATATAGTAGCCGCTTTGCTTCTCTACGAAAGCTTTGAATTCTTTGAAGATACTGAACACCTCCGACTTTCTTTTAAGAAAATACACCCATGTCTTCCGGCTATAATCATCAATGAAGGTGAGAAAATATCTATTCTATCCATTCGACATTCTCTTCAATGGACCACACATATCAGTGTGCACTAGCTCCAGCGGCTTTGTTGCTCTCCACTTCACTTCTTTGGTAAAGCTAGTTCTGTGATGCTTGCCAAGAATGCAGCTTTCACAGACTTCATTAGTATGAGCAATATGAGGGAGCCTTTTCACCATATTCTTGCTAGACAACAGCTTCAAGCTCTCTTCAATGGACCACACACATCGGTGTGCACTAGCTCCAGCGGCTTTGTTGCTCTCCACTTCACTTCTTTGGTAAAGCTAGTTCTGTGATGCTTGCCAAGAATGCAGCTTTCATAGACCTCATTAGTATGAGCAATATAAGGAAACCCTTTCACCATATTCTTGCTTGACAACAGCTTCAAGCTTCCAAAGTTGAGATGACCAAACCTCAAATGCCATAGCCAGTCTTTGTCTTTGATGATGGCACTTAAACACTTCGCAGCATCATGTTGGATGTTCAATGCAAACATCTGATTCTTGGACATTCTCACTCGAGCGATCAAATTACCATGATTGTCTTTGATGGTGAGATGACAATCTTTCATGCTGATGTCGTACCCTTTCTCTAGGAGTTGTCCCATACTCAAAATGTTGTTCTTCATGGCAGGAACATAATAAACATTGGAGATGTAATCATGATCTCCATTCTTGAGCTTAATCAAAATATTACCTCTTCCTTTCCCTAGAGTCTTTGAAGAATCACCAAATGAGACTTGTGCTTGTACAGTCTCGTCAAGCTCAACGAACAGCTATTTTTTACCACACATGTGATTACTGGCTCTTAAATCTAGATACCAAACATTGTTTTGGTTTTTAGTGTCTCCATGGTGGACAAACAGGACTATTGGTCCAACTTTGTTTGTTTCCTTCTCGGCGAAATTTGCTTGCTCTCCAGCTTCTGTTGTTGCTCCATTTCATAAACACTTCGCAGCATCATGTTGGATGTTCAATGCAAACATCTGATTCTTGGACATTCTCACTCGAGCGATCAAATTACCATGATTGTCTTTGATGGTGAGATGACAATCTTTCATGCTGATGTCGTACCCTTTCTCTAGGAGTTGTCCCATACTCAAAATGTTGTTCTTCATGGCAGGAACATAATAAACATTGGAGATGTAATCATGATCTCCATTCTTGAGCTTAATCAGAATATTACCTCTTCCTTTCCCTAGAGTCTTTGAAGAATCACCAAATGAGACTTGTGCTTGTACAGTCTCATCAAGCTCAACGAACAGCTCTTTTTTACCACACATGTGATTACTGGCTCCTAAATCTAGATACCAAACATTTTTTTGGTTTTTAGTGTCTCCATGGTGGACAAACAGGACTATTGGTCCAACTTTGTTTGTTTTCTTCTCGGCGAAATTTGCTTGCTCTCCAGCTTCTGTTGTTGCTCCATTTCAGCATTCATTGTTGTAATGCCCAAACTTGTGGCACTGGTAGAACTGAACATTGTTTTTGTCAAATCCTGGTCGATTGTTGTAACCACCTCTTTTACCTCTTACTCTTCCTCTTGGAGCAAAGTGTGGTTGACTTCTTCCTCCTCTGGCTGGACCTCTTCCGTCTCTTCCTCGAAAACAAAAACTGTCACGACCCAAACCCACCCCTGTAGGTTTAGCACCGTAACCGGCCAGTAATCCGTGGATTACGAAAGGCCTCTGAACAGATTAGCAATTAATAAAGGGCTGCAGAAGCAATAATACAAAATAGACAAGGTCTAATGAGCTGTGATAACGTATATGGGACAGAACATTTCAAAACTTACTTATAGATATATAAACATACCAGTCCAGATACACAATATTTACAGAAGTGAACTTCCCAAGATCTGACTTTACAAACAGTTACAGAGACTAGCATGAAAAAAAAAAAAAAAAAAACAGCCATGGCATTAGACTTCGATCAGAACTTCCTCGGGAGGCACAACGGTTGGCTGACAAAAACAGTTCAAAAGGCCTTCAACTCTAGCCCTGGTCATGTGCCGGCTCACCTACATACATAATATAAACTGTGAGCGAAAGCCCAGTGAATAGTAACAGAGTAAAGGGATTTTATAAATAATATCCATCACAAGTTAGAATCCAGTATTTAAATCAGAACATATTCAGATTTCAAAACAGATATAGATTCAGATACACACTCATGTTCATATTCAGATTTTGCATTAGATCATACGTGGTACACCCATTAGCTATCAGATCAGATTGGTCCAGAGACCCACATACATAGTTGGTACCAACGACCATAAAGGTCCATAACTTGCGCGCAAGTAGCCATGGTATTGTTACCCCCAGGCAAGGGCCACGTGCAGATTGGCCGCGGTATTGTTACCCCCGGGCGAGGGCCACATACAGATTAGCCGCAGTATTGTTACCCCCGGACGAGGGCCACATGCAGATTGGCCGCGGTATTGTTACCCCCGGGCGAGGGCCACGTGAACTAAAGGTGCCACAAATACTTTTCAGAAAATTGGACATTCATTCATAATTCATAAGATAACATTTCAGAAAATAGATCATATCATACCAGTCAGAAAATATTAAGTTAAACATAACTTTATAGAGTTATTACTCACAGTGGGCCTTGAGTCAGACAGACAGAGTAAACTTGGTCAAATGGTACGTGGCACGTGATCTACACAACACATAACAGATGCACACTTGAAACACACGTTCTAATTGTACAAAACTTATTTCATTGGCTCTTAGCGTGTTTCTAATCTCTTGCCCTCACTATGGCCCCGTTTGGTGTAGCTGTTAAAACAGCTTATAGATTATAACTTAAGAGATTATAGATTATGACTTTAATCAGAAGTTATTAATCTGTTTGGTGTAGGTGTTGGATTATAGATTTAAGTTGCTGAGTAGTGTTTGTTAAATAAGCTGTGAAATAGCTTTTTCAATTAATTTTTATTTTTTGTTTGTCTATATTTCTTATAAAAAAAAATAATAACAATCTATAGTCCATTTGAGTCTTTTTTTATTTTTTAAAAAAAATAAAATAAAAAAAATCTAAGAGTATAACCATAAATTAACAAGTCCACAGCAGAAGCTAATAATCAGAAGCAAGGGGTAAGCAGCTTCTTAGAATCAGCTTTTTTGAGTTAAAATAAGCTGTTAAAATCAGAAGCTGTTTGAAATAAGTTTAACTAAATAGTCTAAAATGACTTTTTCAAAGTTAAAAGCCATAAGTTAGCTTTAAAAAGCTGAAACAAACATCCCCTATAGAGTCTTAAACATGGCCTAGGAATGCCTAGGATGGAATGAGGATGCAAAGACGCACTTTAAAACACTTTTCAAAATTTTTAGAAAATAGGGGTCTCGCTCGAGCGTGGCTTTCTACGCTCGAGCGGACATGCAGACAAAGGATCTCTGCTCGAGCGTGACTTCCTTCGCTCGAGCAGACTGTAAACTACAGTAAAAGTACTGGATGCACAAAAATCATGCTCGATGGGCACTCGATCCACGCTCGTGCGTAAGACACAAGTCCTTGCTCGAGCGTGCATTCCCTCGCTCGAGCGGACTGTAAACATATGAAAAGTACTGGATACACGCATTTCACGCTCGAGCGTTACCTTCCACGCTCGAGCGGGGTTCATGTATTCAGAGTGTACGCTTGAGCGTAAAGTCCTATGCTCGAGCGTGGGTCCAAAATCTGAAATTTCCAAATTGAACCTCCAAGCTCAAAACCAACTTTTAAAGCATCAATTTCGATTCTCTTGGGCTAATTTTCTAAAAAACTCTTGTAAACTCATAGTATGACATGTTTTGAAGATCAATTTGCTAAATCAAAGCCCAAAGGTAGTTCAATTAAACACAATTTCAAGGAAAACTTCAAGAACATAAGTTAAATGTATCATGCAAGAATCTCCTAGAAACCAAACCCTCCAAAACATGATCAAACTTGATAATTTGATGGACAACAAGATGCATGACCACAATGAGAGTGAAATTAACACGTGCATGGAAGAAATCTTAGAATTCAAACTCAAAACATGAAAATTTATGCATGCATGCATGAATGGACTCTCAAAACCACACTTTGAGCTAAACCTTGACTTCAACTACCAATTTCACCAAGAACCTAGCAAGAACAACCCCCATTCATAAATAAAAGGATGAATTCACTACCTTTAGGTCTTCAATTTCAAGTGTGGGAGCATAAACATGCAATCCTCCTTCAATTCTCCTAAGTCCTCCAAGCTAATCTCTAGATGAATTCAATTCCTCCTTCACTCCCTCTCTCTCACGGTTTCTAGCAAGGAAAGTGGCTGAAAATGGTGTATGAATTCAGTCTAAACATTGTATGAGAAAGTGGCCCACTCAAGGGCAATTTCGTAAATAATTGGACTAATGTAATTTAACGTTATTTAATCTAATTTAATCACTCCGAACCGAATTTTAATTAAACCTACCATAAAATTCTATAAATTCTAGCTAGCACATAAATCAAGTCAATTTCTGATTCGGACGCCGATAAGGCTTTCAATTCGCAATTTAAAGTCAAAGACATAAACAGATCATTTTATCGCAAACAGATAGAAACACGTAAATAACGCAATACACATGCATATTAATTCCAAATCTCTCCTAATCTACTGTTAGACATAATTAAGTGCGAATTAACGTTAATCAGAGGTTGGGGTTATTACAAAAACTTCAGTTATTGTAACCACAACCTCTTCCTCGACTTCTTTGTGAGCAAAGTGTGGTTGACTCCTTCCTCCTCTGGCTGGACCTCTTCCGCCTCTTCCTCGAAAACCAAAACTTCAGTTATTGTAACCATGACCTCTTCCTCGGCTTCTTTGTGATGTCCCCCCTTGCTCGTTTCTATCATCTCTGAAAGACAACTTTGATTGAAAAACTTACCCTAGAGAACTTGAGGGAGTCTTCTTGTTGATCATTTGTTCATGAATCTCAAGTGTGCCCATCAACTCATCGGTGGTCATGGCACTGAGATCGTTGGACTCTTCTATTGCTACAACCACATGCTCAAACTTGGGACTGAGTGATCGTAGAATCTTCTCTATCACTTGAAGAGATTCCATCTTCTCTCCATATCTTCTCATCTTATTAACAATGGTCAATGTTCTGTTAAAGTACTCAGAAATTGACTCATTCCCATTCATGTACAGCATCTCGAATTCGCCACGTAACACCTGGAGTCGAACTCTGATCGTCTTCTCAATTCTACAGTGTAAATTGCGAAGAATACTCCATGCCTCTTTAGAGGTTGTTGTCGTTGAAATCTTCTCAAAACTTGACTCATCAATGCCTTGATAGAGTAGATACAAGGCCTTTTTATCTCTCTTCCTTGAATCTTTTAATGCCGTCATTTGAGTTTCATTTAAATTTCCTTCATCTTCGAGAGTAGCTGGCTCGTCATATCCTCGATCCACTAACTCCCACAAATCTTGTGAGGTTAGTAGGATTTGCATTTGAATACTCTAATTTTCATAGTTCTCCTTGTTGAGTTTTGGAAACTGGGGCTGAAAGAAGTTGTTTGTATTGGCCATTGGTCATCTTTAAAAAACTGCAAATTTTCAGGATGGAACTTGTAAATTCTGACCGCACAGAGGTGTCTAGAATATTCCAAATAGTTCGAAAGCACTATTGGTTCACCAGAAATAGACTCTGAATGGCTCAGATCAAGCCAAAATAGTTTTGACGCTTCAGATCTGCGACTCTGAATGGCTCAGATCAAGCCAAAATAGTTTTGACGCTTCAGATCTGCGACTGCACCTTAGCCGTGTCGCACTAGATTAATCCTCGGTGTGCTAATTTCAGTGACTCGGTCAACGGTGTAGTCAACTCGGCTTGGTTAGCAGCACGACTTAGGCTCGGCTCGGTCAGCGGCTTCGGTCAACGGTGGCTTGGCTCGGCTTGGTCAAAGCTAGTCAGCGGCTCAGATGATATTAGCGGATGACGTCAGGTCGTCTGGTGCGCCCGCGTGTGGCACGTGGGATCACGCGTCTTCTTCCTCTGGCAGCGCGTGTGCGTGACCACGGCGGCAAGTGTGAGAACGACATCAGTGGCGTGTGTGGCGCGTTCGGAGTCGTCTGAGATTTGTTTTTGACGCGGTTTTCACGGTTATGCTTGTCTCATCGGGAGTTTTAAGCTGATGTGATCAAAAGTGGATTTTGACCACTTTAATTTATGGGCAATTTTGAAAAACACACGTTATTCTTGAAAATTTTAACGAATGTCTGCAAATTCAAGCTACCTTTAGCTCTGATACCACTGTTGGTGGGAGTGAGGTGCAAACTACTGTTGGTGATTCACAATGAGAGATTTAAGACTGAACCAAACTGAAATTCAATTCACTCAAAATAATTCTGAAAAACAAACAAACAGAGCACTCTTCCTTTTTTTCTCACACACACTTATCATTCTGATACATTAGCTATTTATAGATAAACTAGCAATGTGAACACATTTAATGCCAATACAACTAGTAGTCGGAAAGCATTGAATGCAACTATGACTGTTGGTGTGAATGCATTGAATGTAACTACGGTCATCTTGATTTTCAGCCTCCATTTTTGACAAACAACTTTTATATCAAGATTACTTCACAACAAAAATGTCATGTCCAAACTATAATCATTTAATTTTTTTCTCATAAAAAAAAAGCAACCCAAACGAACTTTTTAATCCCAAGCCAAAAAAGTCCCATCTCTAAAAAGCCAACTAAAATTTTTTTTGCCAAACGACAACTAAGAAAGAAGAGAGATATTCATGTAAATTTTTAGAAAACCAATAGAGATGTATTTGTAATATTGACACATATGATACTGGATAATTTTTATTAGCATAAATTGCATTTTTTACGTTTGTAATTTGATTCAAATCTTACTTTATTCTCTATTGTTTCAATTAGAACAATTTGGTCTCTATATTTTAAATTAAGATTCAATTAAGTTTTTCTATTAGAATTTTTGTTTACTTTTTCTACACGTACATCTCAGGGAATTGATAAGTGTTCAAAATTTATTAATTTTAACATATAACTTAAACGAAATGATTGAATTAAAATTATATTAAAAATATAAGGATCTAATTATTTGATTTATAACAATAAGCACCAAAATAAATTTTAAATCAATTACAAGAGTTAAAATGTTGTTTATTACAAGAGTTAAAATGTTATTTATTTATTTTATATTAATTACCTGGCTTCATGGGTGTAGATAGCAGCCTCATTCCGTCCGACATCCCTCCAATCCTACTGGAGGATGCTGTTAGGCCTATAGAGATTTATCACAGGTTTTATTTTGATAATTTGAATCATGTGATGTGTAGAACTCATTGATTGCTATGTGCCTGTAAAAACTCACTTTAATCGGATATTGATAGTTACATGACCAAATCAGTTTTGTATATAAAAAAATAGACGGTAAAAAAATAAATGGTTGATAGAAATTTGATCCGATGAGATAGTTATCAATATTCGATCAATGTGATTTTTTACAGGCATATAATACTTGACGAGTTTTACACATTGAACGATTCGAATTATCAAAACGAAACACATGATAGAGTTTTACGGCTCCAACAATACCCTCTAGTCTGATTTGGAACCGGAGGGAAGCCAGTCTTTTTTTTACACAGGGTACGTGTCTTGCACCGACATGAATGATTAGAACTCTTACAGTTGTTTCATATATATATATGAGATTGGCTCCTCTCCGGTTTTAGTTGTTATAGTTAGACGGTTTAGTTCGGTTTATTATGAATCCATTTTATATGTCATAATAATTTATGTATTTTATTTTGTAAATTTTTAAAAGAAATTATGCCTCCGTTTGGGAAGTGGGTTGACCTTTTAGCTTTTTGGTTTTTTTGGCTATTTGAGCCTGGGCTCAAAAGCTTGGTTTGGGAAGGACTTTTTGGGTTTTTGGCTTTTTTGACTTTTTTGTGAGAGAAGAGTGTAATGATTATGGGTTAGATGTGATGTTTTGTCTGTTGTGGCTCAAATAGCATATTCTGTCTTTTGTGGCTCAAAGAGCCAAAAGAGCCCAAATGAGTTCTTCCCAAACGACACCATGTGTACAAAAAATTAAGTCGATCAAATATCAAAAATTACTTAATCGGTTCACATTTGTTTGAAAAATACTTAATGAATTACTTTCAAAATTATGTTGGCAGTTAATTATTTTTCAGATAAATATGATTTGATTAAGTGACTCATATCTGATCTTTCTAATTTTTTATATGCACGATCTTCTCAAAGAGACCTACAAATAAAAAATTTAAATCATCAATATGAGTCCAAAATAAACTCATAAAAAATCAAACTAAACCGCATAATTAAATATTCAATTTGAGAGAATCCAATTCTTCTTGAGGACAAAACAGCCGCACGCTATGGTGTTGTTTGGCAAGTTGATTTGTGGCTAAAGTAGCCACAAAAGACAAAATAAGCTATTTTAGTCACAACAAACAAAACACCACATCCAACCCATAATCATTACATTCTTTTCTCACAAAAAAAGTCAAAAAAGTTAAAAAGTCAAATTTTTTTTCTAAACCAAGCTTTTTAGCCCATGCTAAAATAGCTAAAAAAAGTCAAAATGTCAAAAAGCCAATCCACTGCCCAAACGGAGGCATAGTACATAGTAATGTATCTTATATTCTTATTCATATTCATCATTCAATATACTATGAAGTCCCTACATGTTTCACGTTTATTTTTTCTAATTTTCTAATTTTTTTTAAGGGGTGGTAAGTAAATTATTTGAGTGTAAATTTCATTTTTAACTTTAAAATTTTCACCCAAATTTTAGTTTGGTTTCTTATTTTCTAATTACAATAATTAAGTTATTATAATTAAATTATGTGTTTTAACATGGTTCTCTTGTCATCTCATCATTTGAAATTTGAGTGAAAGTTAAAACATTAGGTACTAAAGTGAAATTTAAGTAAAAGTTGGATGGTGGAAAATGTAATTTGTCATACAATTTTTTCTCTCTAATGCCTTTGAAATGTATTTATATGAGCATTTTCTGTCAAAATTTTTAAGACTAAGTAACAGAAGAACTACAATAAAACAAACTAAAGTATGAAGACTTAATTGTTATGATTTAAAAATAAGGGATCAAAATAAAATTCAGATCAAAGTTTAAGGAAAAAATGTGTAATTTACTTGTGTTTGGTAACGTTTACGTTTTCAGTTTATATTTACAAAAATTTTATAAACTGGTTTTTGTTTATTTTTAAAAAAACGTAAACTATAAACGCGTTTGGTAATTGACAAAATGTTTACAAAATTTAAAAAATATAAAAAAGAGTGAAAAATGGCAAGTAGTGGCAAGTGGCGGTGAAAGACGGTGGGTGGTGGGTAGCTGGTGGTGGTGGGTGGTGGCGGGTGCGTGGGTGACGGTGGCGGTGGCCGGTGGTAGCGAGTGGGTGGTGGTGGTGGCGGTGGCGGGTGGTGGAAAGTGGTAACGGTGGGTGGTGGGTACCTGGTGGTGGTGGGTGGTGGCGGGTAGGTGGGTGACGGTGGCGGGTGGTGGGTGGTAGCGAGTGAGTAGTGGTGGTGGCGGTGGTGGGGGGTGGTGGGTGGTGGTGGCAGAAGACGGTGGTGGAAAATGGTGGTGATTTATACATTCAACTTAAAAATGATTAAGGTAAAAATATAATATGTTAAACATATATGTCATAAGATTGCGCACACTAACAAAATCTTTAACGTATCTCATAAAAAAATGTAATTAAATTATAGTCATGAAAAAGAGAATGTATAATAAGGCTCAAATGTCTTGCACCACAACTATAAACATATTGGGGCTAAGATTGTTCGCTGGTAAATCCAATTTCTTCGATTACACACATGCATGGATAGATCCACTAAGAGGTGGTTTGGGGGTGGATGTTGTTGAATTGAATCCAAAATGTTGCAAAATTAAATTTGCTGAATTGAGAGCGACGAGCCCTTCTTCACTTTTAACTGCCTATAAATTTTATAGTACACGTTTTATTTTGAGTTGTGTACCATATGTCTTAATTATGATGTTTATAATATTTTATTATGGTTTATTATAGTGTTAATTATGACTTTTATAATTTATTAACGTATTAGTTATAGTATATTGTGATTATTATTGTGATTATAATTTAAAGAGTTTTTGAATATGACTTTTCATTACGCTCCGTTTCCGTTTGCTGGGTGGAAAATATTTTCAAATATAAAACATTTTCTACATAAAACTTTTTCAAAAAAAATTTTCCTAAAAAAAAATATATATATATTTTTATATTTAGTAGTGGTGGTGGTGAAATAAAGATGGAGGTAGACGGGTGGTGGGTGGCATGGTGGTGGGGGCGGCGGGTGGTGGTGGTGGGGGGTGAGTGGTAGGTGGTAGTGGCAGAAGACGGTGGTGGAAAATGGTGGCGGTTGGTGGCTAGTGTTGGGTGGTTAAAAAAAAAAAAACTGAAA